TAATTCCTGCTCTTCCACACCACTCCCTGACCCCCTGCAGGGTCTCTGGTTTTCCTTAACCACCTCCACTCACTTAATTACTTAATTGACCTGTTTCCGTAAGAAGGCAGAACTCCTGAGCGTTTTTTTAGGTTGAACTTAATTGCCGTTTTGAAGATTACCCTTTAAAAATACTGGAGTGGCTGGAGTTACCCAGCTGTTAGAAACAGTTTTTCTCTTTAAGGAACATGTAACTAAAAAGCCAAAAAGTCATGTGAAATCATCTCCAGCCCCTACCTGTGACGAAGGAAAGGAATTGGTTTTACAATGATAACTGTAGTCTGGAGGCAGAAGTAAGGTTGAAATCGAACCACCCCACACGCATAAGGTCGACTCAGCTCTTATCGGTCTTATCAGGTTCTTGTTTGTTCACTCTTCTCTTTGCTTTGCGTCTTTTTTTTATCATTCATTCCCTTCCGTTCCTAGCGAGCGCACGGGGTCAGGAATGCCTTGACGTGATCTGTCGGCCTCCTCTGGGTCCCGCTAAGAACAGGTAGCTCACTGGCTTAACCCCGGGCACTGTCCGCTTAGCTCAGCCGCTCAAGGGTGTCACCTGTGCCTCCTGCCACGCACACCTGCGCGGCGGTGCACAGCTGGCCGGTGCCGACGGCGTGGCGGACAAGGACATCCTGAGCCCGAGTCTGCCAGACTCCCACAAGCCTGCTGCTCTGTCAGGGCCGCCCCCCCCCCCCCCCCGTGGCGCCATCGTCCTTCCCCAGGGCCGCGCCTGGGAGGTTTCTGGCCGATCGATGATTTCGAGAAGCGGTGGGGAATCTCCCAAGTTTTGGGAGGAGAATCGGGAGGGGGAAAAAAGGGGCAGGTGGGGCGGGCAGGCTGGAGCACCTGAGGGCGGAGGGCTCAGGGACCGGGCCTGACTCTCCAGCAGACGAAATCCCGGTGTGTTTCTCTCCCCTCCTGCAGATGAAGACCGGCCCGTTCGCCGAGCACTCCAACCAGCTGTGGAACATCAGCGCGGTGCCCACCTGGTCCAAAGTCAACCAGGGACTCATCCGAATGTACAAGGCCGAGGTAGGTGCTCGGCAGGGAGGCCCCAGCCCCCAAATCCCCAGTGGGGGGGGGGTAGACAAGGCCTGGGGGGGCAGCAGAAGTGCCGGCAGTTTCTCTCTGCCTCCTGCAGTGGAACGTCAACGGAACGTTTGCTTCACAAGAAGGATGGGGAAAAGGGGCAAGACCGTGCACGATGTGTAAATCCATACCGTCCTCAGATGAGTGATTTAGGCTGTGCCCTCTCTCGTTCTTGAGGCATAGGAGGCGCTAAAGCCCAGGTTTGGGGGCGTCTTGCACCGGGGTGTTTTGGGTCGACCCCTCAGTGGTCAGACGCTGGCCGACCCGGCCTGCATCACAGCGCGGTGGACGGGGGGCCGTGTGTCCTCACCGCGCACACCAGGACCGCTCCTGCTTGACGCCTGTGTGGCGGGCTCTCGATCACAGCCCCAGGGACGCCCTGTCCAGCCCCGCCTCCGCCCGTCGCAGGCGCCGTGCCGGGACGTGGGACCCAGATACGGGAGCTGCCGGGTTTTTTTTTTTCCCCCTCGTTTCGGAATTCCTCGTGACATCCGCGGCTGCCTCTAGGTACTGAGGCCTCCCGCTCTCCTCGCTGCAGAGGAAACCGCAGTAGCATGGCGGCTTTAGCTGGAAGAGTGGTGCCTTGCGTTTGTCGTAGTTGTCCTCCCGGAGGATCCCAAAGGACTTCCAGAGGAGGAGGGGCTCGGAGCCTGGGACAGAGCATGTTGAGGAACTCCAGCCATCGGGCTTGGAAAGGGACGCCCCCCCACCCCCTAAAACACACGCTCACCCCCCTCAGCCCTACAGAGCCAGGCAGCATTGCATCGTATTGCAGGACACTGGCCAAGAGACGGGCAGGAGGTGTTTTCAAACTTGCACAGAGAGAGAGAGCCTGCATAGGGAGTTATACAGGTCGACGCCGAAGGCCTGGGTCCCCTCCTGCCTTCCTGGTTGGTATCGCGTCCGATCTGGTTTGTTCTGCCTGGCTGCTGGTGCAGAATGGCTGCAGCGGGGCCTTTCTAGTGGGGGCTACACTTCGGCGGTGATGAAGTGGGGATGGATAAATGAAATGATCATCATCTACTGTACGGATTTGGTCAGTATTTTCACCCAGGGTGGCTGTACCAAGATCCTCGACCAGTTCCCTGTCCTCTCTCCTCCCCCGGGATTCTGACCCCAATCCCCCAGCCTGTTCCGGCCCTGACTCGGGATCCGGCCCCGGGGTTACCCTCTGAGCGGAGCAAGTCCGGGCCCCGGAGAGGAGGCAGTTCCGGTCTGCTCCGCTTCCTCAAGCGCCGGGACAGGGCTGGGAGAAGAGGGGATTTCCTGTGCCGACTGGGGAAACTCTCATGCGCTCGCGCTCCAGACAGGGGAAGAGACATCGGCGGCTTTCACAGGGCACATGGAGGCAGAGCGCCAACACACACACACACAAGGAAAACACAGGCTGCAGGAGAAGTGTGCCCATTCACCACCGCCATGCTTAAAAAGCTCCTTAAAACACACCTAAAGAGCACTGGAGAGCGCGTCCTTGAGGTTTGTGCAGCTCAGTGGTCATCTGCTTTCCAGATGGAATCACGAGAGAGCGTTCTCTTGGGCTTGGAGCTTCCAGGCATAGTGTTAATTAAGCCTTTGAGAGTTTCTGCCTTGGGCGAGAAAGGGTTAAAGGCCGTGTGTGTGTGTGGGACAGCGAGAGAGAAGCTCTCCCCACCCCCTTCTCCCTCCCAGCCCACATCCTGTGTTGTTCAGAGGGTCTGCATGCCTTCCCCACTGCAGGGCAGAGCTCAGGGGCCAGCTTGTCGGCTCTCTGCTGCTGCAGCCCTACCTCCTCCCAGCCAGCCAGCCAGCCTCTCGCCCTGCTCCCCCTGTATCCTGGAAGGGTGAGAGAGAGCGAGCTGTAGCCTTTTCCGTCCTCCCAGCTCTGCGCCACACGACGGCCAAGTCGAAAATGAATGTCTTTTTGCCGTTTTTTTTAAAACCGATTTAATTTGGCGGCGGGATATTCAGAGGACCACATGCACAGTGCACTCTTCCCCCATAAAAAATGGGGTGAATTCTTCTTTGGTGCTTCTTTCTATGATAGCCATTTCTGCGATGGATAGAAACAAAATAGTCCATTTCTTACTAACTGTATCTAATCCTCAGTAGAATTGGCATTTTAAAAAAAATTTGGAATCAAATGTTTGGCCAGTTAAAAAAAAAAATAACAATAATTGAATCTTATTTAAACACATGGCGCCCTTGGTGCTGCATTGGTTTTAGTGAGCGCAGTTGTGTGTGTTGTGCTGTGTCTGTAGGCATCCGAGTTCCTGTGTTTGCGGGTGCGTGTCTGTTTTGAGCGTCACTGGGGAGGAGACGTGTTCATTGATAATTTTTGTCATGTTTTCTGTTCCCCCGACCAATCACGGCAGAGGTCGAAAGTTCGGCGATTAACACTTGGCGTGCTGTGTGGGACGCCCAGGGCTGTCGGAGCTGTGAATGTGCCCCCCGCTCCCCTGCTGACGTCACCCGATCGCGGTGCCAGCCCTCCCCCGGCCCTGTTTCACAGCCCTGGCCTGTGTCCTCTCAGTGCCCAGAGCCTCAGACTGCACCCCAGAGACCGGAATGCTCCCTCCTCTGTGCTCGTTTCCTCCAAGCAGCGGTCGGCAGTAAAAGCACCTTGAATGTGAACGCGAGAGGAAAGGCGCAGCGGGCTGTCAGATGTTGCTGTTGACACCTCTCTTGTCTTAATGCCGCTGACCCTGGAGTGACCTCTGGCCTGTGAGGCGGTAGCCCTCCCCAGTGCTGACTGTAGCCCCTGTTGCAAGACGGGTGGAGCTGCCCGAGCCTGGCTCTGCGTTTCAGTGCTGCCGAGAAACGGGAAGAGAAATCTCTCTGCAGAAAGTTCCCAGGCAGGAGCTCCAGACAGCCATATAAAGACAGCACCCTCGTTTATCAGTGAAGCTTTATTTCACCGAGACATAATGAGCAGTGTAGTTCCCGGGCAGTGCTGTCCTAGCAATTACAGTGAATTGTCTTGCTCAGTGGTTCCTGTGTCATGGCAAAATGAGGCCTCAGCAGCTTTTTCGTTGGTTTTTTTTTTTGCTGCTCTCCCGCTGAGGTTCCCGACGCGCGCGCTCGCAGTTGCGAAATGTATTTGCCTCCAGAATGTCACGTTTTGCAGAGCCGCCGGGGGTCAACAAAGCTTAAAAGCCCCGTGTAGAGCCGGGGCGATCGTCCTGCCTCGCGTTCCCCATTCCCCTCGCGAATGGCTTGCGCGATCCCCGGCGGCTCATCGTCTCTCTTGTCTCGCTCTTCTCTCGCTGCAGTGCCTGGAGAAGTTCCCCGTGATCCAGCACTTCAAGTTTGGCAGCCTGCTCTCCATCCAGCCCGTCAAGCCCTGAGACGTCGGCGCGTGGGTGGGTGGGGCAGGGGGAGGGGAACAACCCAGTAATGAGAATGACCATGAATTAAAAGAAAACGGAGGGTTGAACCCAAAAATCAGAAGTCCGTGCGAATGAAACAGTAGATCCTGCAGGGATCTGGGCACCTTTTCTTAGAGGAGAACCCTTTCCCCCGATCCATAGCCCTCTTCCTTGTAGAGATCCCACCCATCTTCCCGTTTGAGTTTTGATTTTATATTTTATTTATTTATATTTTCTATCCAGACCTTGTGTGCGCGCGGGCAAGTGTGGTGTATTATATAGAAGAGCCTGCTTTCATCAATCGATCACTCCGTCTCTGTCTCTCTGTCCATACCCCCTGACCCCCACCCGGGTGCTGTCCCGATCACACTCCTGTCAAAGGGAGAAGGCTTTACTGCATGTGGCTAGTGTTCTGCAGGAACCGATGAAAGGTTCCCGGTGGTGTTTTGCACACTGGTAGCATGCAAAAGGGGGACATCACAGTGATTCCTGTCTCGGTCTGCTTTAAATGCTTCTCCTTTGCTTTCCCTTGCAGTGGGGGGGGGGGGGGCCCAAATACATTGTTTTGTAGCAAGAGTCTTGAGCCACGTCTCCATTTAGAATATACTGTCTATACAGTAAACATAGAACTCAGAAATCACTTCTTTGTTCTTATTTGCCACACAGCTGTGGTGTTTGGAGTCGATTGAGCTGTGGTTATCTGGCACACGACCAGGCGCGCTCACGCTAGCCCGGCGACCCAGCTTTGCTAGGCAGGGTCAGAGCTCGACACGGGCTCTGCCGACTCCCAGCGGGGGGGGGGGCAGTGTGGTGTTTCTCCACAGCTCGTCCGGGATCAGGCCATCCGGTCGGCAGCCAGCGTTTACAGATGATCGCGAGCAGCTGGAAGTCACCCGACCAGCTTCTGACCGCGCATACATGGCCAATGCTTGCAGTAAATTTGACGTTTGTTTTGAAAATGCGTGCGCTAGTTCTGTAGGAGTAACGTAAGGCTTGCGTATGGAATTAAAACCCAGGTTGAAAGAAAGGGGCACTTTTTCCACCTTTGTGTAACGCTCAGTGACTTCCTGCAAAACTGGTCAAATCTGAGGCCCGTGTTGCAGAGAAGACTGATGTCGGGACAGTTTCAGACGTGATGAAAAGCACCAGCTGTGCAGCACCGAGAGTATTCTGAGGCCCAGGAAATACCTCGACCAGTCTTGAGTATTTGTTTTGCTTGCCCACCCAGTGTGGGATCACCACTTGTTTGAGGATTCGGGGAGTGGCTCTGTTCTCCTCCTCCTCCTCCTCCTCCTCCTCCTCCTCCTCCTCCTCCTCCCCCCCCCACGCATGCAGAGGTCCTGCCGATTGGCCCAGGAGGAGGGATGGGTCTCTCGGGGGCATCCCTGTAGGCCTGGAGGGGACACCGTGTTGCCAAGCGCCCCAGCCAGCTCCTAACCCTTCCTCATGCCCTCCGCCAGCAGTGTGCCCACATGGGGGCACGTCCTTGTTTCAGACGCGTGTTGTGCTGGAGGGACTTACCCTGCCAGTTCAGGTAGGAGCAAGAGAAGAGGGGCTGTCCTGAATTAAGGACTGGCTTCTCAGGTTTTTGGCTTTGTGCAGCATCTGTTGACCTATCTTGTCGTTATCAGTCGTGGCCGTACGGAGATGCCGCTTGTTTCCCAGCACTTAAATACAGTAAACAATTTTAACGTATCCGATGTGGGATATGAGTGGCTTGTATCTTTTAATGGGAACGCGGCTTGTCCAAGATGGGTCCGGTGTTGCCCTCAATCTGGGCTTTAAAGACTGACACCCTCCGGGTCGCAAGTTAGTTGCTTTTCATATTACATGAAATGAAAGGCAGGCGCAGTGTTTTTATTGCATTTTAAGGCAACGCAATTACGCGATGCACCAGTGGCACATTGAAGTGATCTGAACAGAGCACGTACAACGCTGGCTCCGTGTTTAATCTGGGAATGGTTTCCAAAACGGGGAAAACTACGGGATTCCCGATCCCCCCCTTCTCTCTAATCCCTCCCAAATCTTCCCTCTCTCAAAAAAAAAAGCAGTTAAACTAAAGGAAAAAAAGACCGAAGGAGACCGAAGACACAAGAAACAGAGCAAAATAGTAATTACACCAAACAGTCTCTAGGAAGGACAGCCGTATCGGATATCATCTGAGTAACCGGTTAGCGACAGATTAAGGTCTTGGGTGCAGAAGGGAGCCTCCAAGCCTCGAAATGGTTGAGAAATGTTTGCCAACTGGAACTACTTTCAAGTCCGGATTTAGCTGTGGAAAGAGCTGCCGTTGGCTGGAGACGCTGGCAGGACCGGAGTGCACGGCGTTCACACACACAAGGCCGGGGAAGACTGCATGGGAGACCCCCTGGGGAAAAACTGAGGCTGCTGCTGGAAGAGGTGTTAGTGGGGCCAGTAGGGGGCGCTCACCCTGCAGTCTGTGTTGGTCCTGAAGCCCCAGAATAGTGAGGGTGTGTTACTATATTGTAAAAAGGCACCGTCCTTTGGATGAGACGTAAAACCGAGGTCCTGACTGTGGTAATTAAAAATCCCAGGGCGTTTCTCGAAAAGAGTAGGGGTGTAACCCCAGCATCCTATCCAAATTACCCATCATGACCTCCTAATAATCCCCATCTCTGAACTGGCTCCATCACTCTGCTCTCCTCCCCACTGAGAGCTGGTGTGTGGGGAGCGGACTGAGGCGCTCTGGCTGACATCACATCATACTGGTGGTGGAGGGGATCCCCATGACCTGTAAAGTGTAAGGAATTATTCATCATTTATAATAAGACTCCCTGTGTGTGACCTGCACACCATCGCTCGTGTCCAAAACGGCGGAGATCGGTGAAGAAGGTCTTCTATTGACCCGGGTCGTGGAGGAAGTCGGGGGACATCCAGTGGGGCCCAGGGGGTCCCCTGGCGTTGGCTAGAGTTGTGAGGATTCAGCTCGTCTTTAACTGTGGACCTGTGGAAGACTCAACCCCCTCCCCAATAACCTTCGAGCACAGGTATCTGGGAATACGGACACTGTGGCAGTTCCATCTTATTGAAAGCTGATTCCTGAGACTTAAGGAACATGGAATACCGGATGGTTGTTTTTTTTTTCGGATGAGGCTGGAGAGAGCTCAGCGCCCAATGTACGGGAGCATGTTAAGCAGGGAGTTGCGGGTTCACATCCTAGCTGTGCCTCGTTGTGGTCTGGTCCTGTCTAGCATCGTTTGCCCCCCCCCCTCTAGTTTCTGGAAGTTGGTTTGGGGGGAACAATGGCTGCCAAGTGGCTTAGCGTTCTCATGAAACTCGCCCGTCATCAGACTTTTTCCATCCATCCATTTTTGTACCACTGCAAGTTCAGACCTGCAGGGCTCTGGCGCCTGTCCCGACCGGGAAAACGGCCGCATTAACGAGTCGAATTGAAACGCTGCCCTGAATCCACCTCCTCGCTTTCAGACGGGGTGTTTCCCTGCAGCTCTTGACTTCCCTTCCCTTTCCCGTTGGATGTCGCTGAATGTCCCAACAGGGTCTCATCTCAGCACGCGTGGCCGTGCGCAGATGTTGCTGTTTTCCGCCAGTAAAAAAAAAAGAAATCAGGTGCCAAAATATTGTTGTTGTTAAAAGACACTTTCGGTTTCTTTCTGGATCTTGGTTCCCCATGCACACTCGAACCAGGCTGTTTTCACTCGCGTTGTGCTCATTGTGACTGCTGGTGCTGTTCGTGAGCGCAGTGTAAGTAATCTACCCTGGGGGCGGATGACAAGCGTGTACATTCACAGCCTCAGCTCTGCCAGGTCTCCCCTGCCTGTCCCACTCTTGCACCTCTTGGCCCACAGGACACGCCAGGAGAAGCACTTTCTCATCTGGCTGGCCTGTTGGGTTCAGCGAAGCGTGAGGTCGGAGAGCGGACTGCTGTTTTTCAGGGTGCGGTGAATGACTCCCGACTCCAGGCTGGCCCCTGAGGACCCGGGGTGAGGGGGGGGAGGGTTTTTTTTTCTGGTGTCGAATTCGTCCCCAAACTTTTCCTCCCTCAGCCGCCAGAGCTTTGACACTGACCCGTAGTCCGCATCTCTGTGCACGAGTTCGCAAGAGCTGCCGGTGTGCTGTAAGACCGTCGAGGATGCGGGCTCCGGGGAGGAGCCCTTTCACGAGAAGACATCTCCATCAGCACGACATATCCCCGCGTTCATGCAGCGAGTAGTGAGCATGACCCGTCTCATGTGTGTACCGAACCCGTCTTTGAGTTCCGCAATAAACCAATAAACTCATGAAAGTACCACGCGTCTCTCTCTCTTTTTTTAAAAAAAAAAATCTTGCTGAACCGGTTTCGCTGTTGAGGAAAAGTGCTGCGCCCGTTCTCTCGCTCCGCTGCCTCATCCTCCTCGACACGCCTGGGGGAATATTTTTGGAAACCCTCCAACCCGTTTTTTTTTATTTTAAATATATTTTGTTGTTGTCATTTAGCCTGAGCCGGCGTATTATGTCAATTCTTCGATATGTCCTCTTGCTGCCAAGAATGTTTTCTGTTCGAAATTAAGACCGGTCTTTTTTTTTTTGGAAAAAGAAGAAGGCATCTCGCAGTAATAGGACTGAGAGAATGTATAAGGCTGTGTGTGGGTGGGGGCGCGCTGCACAAGCCATCTGCAGCCTGTTGTGACCCTTGCTGGTACTGGCCTCTGCGGTGTTTCGTTCAGGCTACCCGGGCGGCGTGCTAATGGAAAACACGTGCGGCCTCGATCAGAGAAGTGGAGTGTCTCAGACCAGCGAGGCATTTATACCCTCCCGCGGGGTAACTGTCGAAGCTTTCTGAGCTGCGTCGCTTGACAGCGTGTGATCAACCCCGGATAAGTTTCTCCTGTCAATATCTCCATTTCTCTTTCTTTTTTTTTTTAAAGTAATCTTATTTGGCGTGCAGTTGTCGGGCCCTCGCTCCTTCGGGGTATACGTGTGGTCCTGGGCGGCCGTATCTGCGCCTCTTTAAACGCGATCGTGTACGTCCGAGCTCGTCCTGGGGCTGGAGACTTATTATCCAGAGGGGGTCCTATTACAGAGCAGGATAGAGTCCAGATCGCTCCTCGCCGGCTCCTGTAGCCGAGGTGAGGCGCGACCCGCCCCCCTGCAATTCAAAACGGGGGGGGGGGGCTGATTTAGCCGAAGGGGTCCGCAGATAAGGGCGGCTGAGGAACTGAGGAGAGCTGTTATCTCGGGGAATAGATCACAGCTGCTGAGGAGGAGCGCAAGAAAGCGCTGTGGAGTGTAAGACGAGATACCTGTAGCCTGCTGTACAAGTTATTGATAGGGCAGATTATATTAATATTTACAGTCCTATTTTCTCCATCTCAGCCTACTCAATTTTCAGTTCAATTCAAGGTGCTTTATTAGCATGACCGATGGGTACAATCAGTGTTGCCAAAGCAAAGAAAATAATGAAATTCACATTCGCACAGACTCTCTGTCTGTACTCTCTCTCGCACCTCGGCCTCTCGGGCGCGGTGAGTTCGCTCATAAACCTGATAGTACACGGAAGCAAACATCGCCGTATTTGTTCTGAAGTTCAGTTCGTACGCGTGTGTTTTTTTCCAGATGTGCGAGGCAATGTTTTGATGTGGTTTCTCGGGATAATAAGCAGTCAGAGTGTTAAATCGGAGGCTAGAAATCATCCCCCTCCTCCCAGCTGTCGACCCGAATATCCCTCCTAGGAGCTGTATCGAGGGCGCCTGCAGTTTCCCAGCGGTACCGCTAGGAGGAGCTCGGTTGACGCCGTTCACCCTGTTTGGGAACGTTTCCCACGCAGAACGAAAACAGGAACATCTTGGCATTTAATAAAATACACGGGGAAAAGGCGCATTTAAACTTTAAACCTTACAACAGGAGGGACGCTACACTTCTGTGCAAGCGATATGAGCGCGCCTGGAAAGATCTCTAACATACAGACGTGTGGATTTGAACAGGAATGACTTATCCTGGCAGCGCGCAGACAAATTAAAAAAAAAACATACAGTATATATGTATAAAAATCACCCAGTTTTGAAAACTGTTTCAAATATTAACACTCACACACACACGCGTGAGCCCCACAATCTTTGAGTGTGTGTGTGAGAGAGAGAGAGAGAAAAATCGCCTTCGCGATCGGTTTCATATTGGCTATTTTGTGATTTACGGCCGCGCGGTCGACACCGGTCTCCAAAGCCCGATCAGGAGATGAGCGATTTATTTTTTAAAAAAGAGAGAGAGAGGTTGAAAAGTGAAGGGGACAGGACAGCTGGGGTTCAAAGTGTTTGGAAGAGGCGCTCGGCCGTGCCTGTGCCTTGTGTCGAGGGAGCGGGTGGGGCTGGAAAGGAGGCGCGGGCGGTGTCGAGGCTGAGGTCAGGCTAAGGTGCTGCTCCATACACCTCCAATACCGCCATTCGTCGCTTTTGGAGAACACCACCAAGCGGCATAGAGCAGAGATAACAAACAGGTAGACGTCCTGTGAGACTCGGCGGGGTCGGGGAATCAGGAAGGCGCGCCGGCGTGACTCCCCTGCAGCGCCCAAGAGTAGGGGTGTCCTTTTTCTTCAAGAGAGGGCATCTCTCTCCGGTCTATCACTCATTCCCCGTTTCCTAAAGTCGGACAACGGCTGCGTTTCTGTAATTCCTTTAAAAAAGAAACACGACGTTGCGGGTTTTTCAAAGGCTGGACGGGATATTGTAGATGGGGAGAATTGGTTGAGTCTTGAGGTTTTTTTTTTGTGTGTGAAGTTTTTAGGGCGCTCCCGGCCTGAAGAACTGGCCGCTGTTTTGAACTGCATGAAACACGCCCGTGTGTACATGGTGCATATACCGGACCCCAAACCCCCAAACCCCCAGACAATAATGTCGTCGCCGCATCAGGGGGCGAACTCCGTCGTGAAATTTCTGAAATAAAGCAGGGCCCTCTCACACCCCCAGAAAAATCGGGGGACCGGAGCGCTGTCGCTTCAAACCCAAGGTGCGTCAAAACACGACCGGAGCGTCACTCCTATTCGCTCTCATACAAAGCGCGAGAAGGGACGCGGACGTACAGTTCCCACGGAATAAGAACTCCACGTGTTTTTGTGGGGGAGAGGGAGTAGGCATATACTTCGTCTCTCCTTTTAACCCTAGCACTGCAGCCCTTAACCGCCTTTGTACTCTTTCAACTCTTCCCAAAGCGTGCCATGACGATATAGCGCCCAGCTGGACCACAGCAGCCACCCAAAAGCGAGGTCACTCTCACGCGTGTGCGCAATCGGAAATTCTGCTCGTGGTCTGTTTTAACCCGAGTGAATTCAGCCCCCCCCCCCTCCCCCGCCCTTGTTTGCGGCTGTTTCCCCAGTGCGACACGAAAGGAGGTCATGAAGAGGAGCGAAGCGTCCGTCCGCCTTTCTGTTGCTCTCCCGAATCGCTCCCAAAA